TGATCACACAACACTATCTCTCTGTTTGTGAACAGCACTGGCTACCAGTGGATTCCAATTCAAGGTGCAGAGTTAGCAACACCATTGATTAGGCAATGTCATCTGATAGAACCCAGAAAGCCTTCTCTATTCTGGAACAAGCCCTGGGCAACAACGTCCCCTCAAGAGATTTGTCTGCCCCCAAACTCATTTAAAAGGAACTGTGGTGGCACAGTGGTTAGAATGCAGTATTGGAGGCTAATTCTGCTCACTGCCAGGAGCTCAGTTCTCATTGGTTCAAGGTTGACTCAGCCTTCCATCCCTCCAAGGTCGGTAAAATGAGGACCCAGATTGTTGGGGGCAATATGCTGACTCTGTAAACTGCTTAGAGAGGGCTGTAGAGCACTGTGAAGTGGTATATAAGTGCTATTGCTAAAAGAACCCTAAAAATATGGCTTCCTCTCCAGACCCTGGGCTAGGATATCTGGCAGACCTCTTAATAGGAATTGTTTATATCAAGCAATCATATGCTTTATTGCTCTTTCTGGATGTTTGCCATTTTTTGATCTGTTATATTGTTCTGAATTGTTTTTTTTTTAACACTGTACAATATCCAGAGGCATTAGGGGATGAAAGGAACTTAGAAATTTGATAAAGTAAATAAACAGGTAATATAGTACCATCGTAGCACCACAAAAGCTAGATATATATATTTTTTTAGCCAAAGTCCCGAAATGAAAACTGAAGCATGTTATACAATTTTTCTCACTGTCTTCAGGTACATTAGCTGCAATCTATTGTTTCCATATTGAGTTGCCTTTGGTCACAGATATGAAGTAAGAATTCCTTTATTTAATATAAGTTTTCAAAGCGCGTGCAAAAACGACATATCTTCAGTCAAATACAGAACCATAAGCATCTAGTATTTCTTTTTCTAAAATGATGTGTAAGCCATTTTTTTCCAGTTATTGCCTGAAGAAAGAGACTCTGAAAGGTCATTAGGTTTAAAGTGTAAAATTACAGGCTCAACCCTATGGAATCCAAGACTCATGGGGCTCTCTCTCTAGAAGTGATTTTTATGTCAAACACATACTGAAATCAATAAATCAATAAACACAGCAAGGATGTACAACCATTGCTCCTAGACAGTATGCACTGCAACTCTCATAATTCTATGCCATTATACTATTATATTTTGATTCCCATCAATCTCAAATAACTGCAAGGCAACATATTGTCTATCCCTCATTTACCGACACTCTTATTTTTTTCAGCCAGAGAACTATTTAGATTGGCTTATTGCTCCTGGAAAACTCAAAATTGTGTAGAGTATTCTAAAACCTCATAAGCATTTTGCATGAAAGGCTCTGGTACTTCAAGCACATTAAAAGAATACCACAGCCTAAAGCAGTGGTGGCGAACCTTTTAGAGACCGAGTGCCCAAACTGCAACCCAAAACCCACTTATGCATCACCGAGTGCCGGGTGGGCATGGCCACTGAGTGGGCGTGGCCACTGAGCTGTCGGCTCGTGTTTGCTCACTTGCTCATTGTCCACTCCGACTCGTGCTCGCTCTCAAGCTGTCTGCAGCAAATGCTGCTTCCGCAGAAAGTTGCTCCTTTTATAGCCTCTCGCCTATTGCCAGACTGCGCATGCACAGAGAAGAGGAGGGAGCAGCTCGGCCTAGCAATGGCTCGCGTGCCACCAGAGATGGCTCCACGTGCCGCCTGTGGCACGCATGCCATAGGTTTGCCACCACGGGCCTAAAGTATCTAAAAGGCATAAACTATGAACAAATATCTCACCACTTTTGTTAATATTTCTGTTAACAAATCAATTACAATTTAAATAAGGAAAACGTCTATCTGAAATACAATTCTTAGTGTCTCCTGCCTTTACAATAAATAAATCCTGTGACTCAGGTGGCAATATCTGGCTGACCTTATTTGGACTTCAAAGCTAAGTAGCTGTATGTATTAAGGTGAGAGGTTACTATGGAAGACAAAGACCGTAAACTGAATTAGAAAATCAAAGAATGCTAGAAGAAACCAGTGGCAAATCACTTTAATACAGATAGTCCTTGACTTACAACCATTCGTTTAACAACAGTTCGATGTTGTTGTTGATGACTTACAACTGGCCCTCACATTAACAATCATTGTAGCATCCCCATGGTCACATGATCAAAATTTGGGTGTTTGGCATCCAGCATGTATTTACAATGGCTGCAACATCCCAGGGTCATGTGATCACCATTTCAGTATTGCAGGAAAGCTACTCATTTGAATCCATATGATGATCAAGAGTTAGGCTCATGCTGAGATCATCTTTACATTTTTTTAAATCTCACAAACAGTAAAAAATGAGAAGCTAATGAAAATAGTTGATGCACCACAGTATTTCAATTTCATATATATATATATATATATATATATATATATATATTTGTTTTCTGAGGTTTTCGCGGGTATTTGTATATAGGTCTTTGGTTGTTCGGGTTTTCTCCCGCGTAAAATTGGAAGTGTCTTGGCAACGTTTCGACGAAGTCACATTCGTCATCTTCAGGCTGGTGTTTTTAGCTTCTTGCTTTGAGCAGCAATGTGTGGTTTTAGCTGTTTCTTCCTTTTAACTGCCAGTGAGGGTATGAACTGATTGGATGGGAGCTTGGCTGTGTTCTGATTGGGTGGAGGTGTGTTCTGAATGGTTAGGGGCTTGGCTGTGCTCTGATTGGCTGGGGGAGTGTTCTGTTTGGTTGTGCTCAGGTTAGTCTGAGTTGCAGAGGGGTTTAAGATTTTGGGGTTAGGGAGTCGTTTGTCAATAAGGGCAGGTTTCCAAATGGCTGGTAGGCGGGAGGTATCATCTCGCTTGTTCATGCTGTGTGGGCGTTTTTCTATCTCGATGGCTTCTCTGATTATTCTGTTATTAAAATGTTCACTTTTGGCAATGGTTCTGGTATTTTTAAAGTCAATTTCGTGTCAGGACACGAAATTGACTTTAAAAATACCAGAACCATTGCCAAAAGTGAACATTTTAATAACAGAATAATCAGAGAAGCCATCGAGATAGAAAAACGCCCACACAGCATGAACAAGCGAGATGATACCTCCCGCCTACCAGCCATTTGGAAACCTGCCCTTATTGACAAACGACTCCCTAACCCCAAAATCTTAAACCCCTCTGCAACTCAGACTAACCTGAGCACAACCAAACAGAACACTCCCCCAGCCAATCAGAGCACAGCCAAGCCCCTAACCATTCAGAACACACCTCCACCCAATCAGAACACAGCCAAGCTCCCACCCAATCAGTTCATACCCCACTGGCAGTTAAAAGGAAGAAACAGCTAAAACCACACATTGCTGCTCAAAGCACGAAGCTAAAAACACCAGCCTGAAGATGACGAATGTGACTTCGTCGAAACGTTGCCAAGACACTTCCAATTTTACGCGGGAGAAAACCCGAACAACCAAAGACCTATATATATATATATATATATATATATATATATATATATATATATATATATATATATATGGATGATATTCACTCATTTATTTTCAAAGCCTAGAATTAAAACTAATCACTAGTTTAGAATATACAACAGTTGTTCCATTGTAGTTTAATTATCACAGAAGAACATCTGTGGTAAAGTTGATTCCCCACTGAATATACAGAATTCATACCATACCAAGTAATTAAGTAATAGCAATGACGATGCATATTAACTATATTCTATATTTAAAGTGTTTTTAGACAAAACAGCAAGTATTTTGTTGTTTGGATTAGTTCTTGTCTAAGAATTTATAATTTTTTACTTATTGAATGGATTGAATGCCATGGTGGCCTAGTGGTGAAGATGCCTGCCTCCCACTTGGAAGGTTGAGAATTCAATCATAGGTAGCGGCAGATATTTCTTTCCTAGGGTGGAAAGAAAAAATATCTGCTGCAAACTCCAAATAGGCATCAGGAAGGGCATCCAGCCAATAAATGCTCAGCTCCATCCAACCATCAGAGTTGTAAAAATAGTTTTATTTATTCAATGGATTAGTTCTTACTTAGTTCAAGCTAGGTATACAACATTTGTTAAGTATACAATGAGGCACAGTTCCCCATTTAAAGTCAAGTACTCCCCCCCCCCAGAAATACGACTGAACTGAGATAGTACATGGCATTGATTAATTTTAAACAAGTTTTTCAAAGATGAATTATACTCTGCAACTAAGATCTAAGCAAAAATAATAATATATTTTAACAATAGCAAGCAGCAAGATGATCCTGTTAAGCTGAAGCCTGATTAGGTTTCCAGCACATGAGCCAAAAAGGAACTATTTAGACTAACAACCATCACCGCAACCCTATGCATGCGTACCTGGAATTAAGACTTACTATGTTTTGTAAAATTTAATCCCAACTAAATATGGGAAATTATGCCTTAAATTGCATTTGATATGCGTACTTATTGTTACCTCTTTGATTTGAATATCTCACACTCTTTTGCCTTGGACACATGACATGGACCAGTCCTTATTTCTGCCTAGCATGGCTAGAATCAGATTTTAAAACACATGCTAAAGGATTCGATCTGATGAAGATGCAGGTGAACGAATTTAACAAAGAAATGAACCTAAACCTATTTGGAAGCATATTCAAGGCACACGGCTTCTGGGTAAATATTCCAGGATTCACAAGTCTGTATGGCAACAAGACATTTTGAAAAGATGGGGGTGAGTGACATCTCAACATTTTCAAAAATTATTTGTGCTCTAGGTTAAAGGCCAGTATTTCCAAACAATGGGTAACAACCCTTACGAAGAGGCAGGAAGGAGAATGTTCTCCTTTTTTAAGAACAGTTACCCTAGGAGGTGTCAAAGCCTAGAGAATGTTAACTAATATATGGTTACGTGTTTAAGAGGTCTTTGATGGTCTCTGAACTGGGTTGTTTTCTTGCTGACATTTCATTATCCAAACTACGGTAGGTAACATTATCAGTGCTAATCAGGGTTGGATTAACCCTAATGATGTCACCTGCTTTGGGTAATGAAACATCTGCAAGAAAGCAACCAAGGTCAGAGAGTATCAAGAATCCCTCATTTCAACCCTGAGCTACATGTATTCTCCTTTATCAGTACAGTTACTCTAGTTTAGCAGCTTTGAGACTGATTCCCTCCCTCTTCCATTAAACTCATTTCAATAGATATTAACGGATTTTCCAGTCTCAGGCAGGCCAGAAGTGGCTGCGATCACCCTTCCCAAAGAACACACAGGAGGTCAACCTCATTCATCTCTCAGGTGACTCCCAGGCAACCCAATCTTCCTTACAGATATAAACAAGCCCCGCCGTTTTGTTTTGTTTTTTGTCTTTTCCGTTTGCAGCCCAGACGCCACCAGCAATCGATAAGGAAGTGCATTACTGGATTAAAAGTTTCCCCTCATTAATCGCAAAAGTCTAAGGGACCCAGAGTTTAGGACTGGCTTTCCTATCCCTAGTTGTCAACCAGTACGTATTTACGACGGTTGCAACATCACAGGGCCCTAGCCTTCCTCTTGCCTAAGGTGTATGCCCACGTACAAACACACACGTGTGTACCCAGGGACTCAAGTAGTTCCCTTCCAGCACGACCAAATGTTTGAAAACGGCATGCCCAGCCTAGTGACTATCGCTCAGCCGCTGCAAGGTGCCTCCCTCGGGACGCCAGGTAAGGACATGGCGATCCGCGCGCGTGCCTGCCGCGGCCCCCGCCCGCAAAGGTTACCTCCCCACGGCTGAAGGCGAGCTCAGCGCAACACCCTCGGCTCAGGGAAGAGCCTTGTTGACCAGGAAGAGAAAGAGGTTGGAAAGTCACCGATGCTCGGCAGCGTTAGCACCCGCTAGGTAAGTGATGTGCGCAAGAGGGGAAGGGAGGTGGACGCGCGTCCGCCCCGAAAGAACAGGCGGCAGGCACCGTCCGCCCACCGGCCACCTGGCAGAGGTCGACGGCGACGGACGGTGCCGCCACTCACCCCAGCTACGTGCTCCTCGTTCCGCTCAGCGCCATCGAGATCCGGAGAGAATTCCCGAAAGGGTTTCAAGCTTTCAAGCTCGGCGGCCAGATCCCTCTTCCGCCTGCCAGGGATTCGGAAGCTCAGCCCGTTTTGCCCGACGCTGAGGAGCCATCCACTTGCCCGGCGCCGCCGCCGCTCTTGCTGCAAGAGGCTGCAGCGGCCAACACGCGTGCCGCACCTCTGAGCTGAGCCAGGGCGAAGGAGGCGTGCAGCGCCGCCTTGCCGCCGCGCGCGGAACTGGCCGCGAATGGGGCGCCTCCCGCCTCTTCAGCGCTTCTCGGCTCAGCTTAAAGCGGGGCTTGGTGCTTTTCCGAGGCACGTGTTGAAGCGGACCCCGCGGCCGCTGAGAGCCAATAAGCGGGGAGCGCGGCAAGGAGGGTGGACAGGTGTCGCCTACGTAATGGCCGGATCTCCAGCGCCAGGCCCATTTCGCTTTCCTTCTGGCTTGTCCCTGGGAAGCCGAGTGATGACTGGCTTCGCGTCAGTCAGTTCGTGTGTTTTGGCAATCCCCAAATCGCCTCACCTACGCTTTAAATGCTCCGATCCATTGCGGATGGTTGTGCCCCCTGAAAGGAGAAAGAAAGCAGTTTTCTAAGATAGGTTCCTGACAGCGCGTCCCTCAATTAAATGGATAATGTTCTAAAAGCGAATTATGTGCCTTTGTTTATTTCATGAAACTCCACCAGCTTCTTATCAGATTGTGGAGCGCCTTAGCTGAAGTGGCTGCTTATCATACAATACTGAAGTCTCTTACACTAAAACCTCAAAACTTAAAAGCTATGGAAGCAATTAGACAAATTGGTAATTCTTCAGATCATAACTAGAAAGATTTCGCCCTCCTTTCTGTCTTTCAATTGTATTCCTTCTTCATGTGGACAGGCCTTCCCTCTCGGCCCCAAAATCCCCAACCAATGGATCACTGATCAAATCAATTCACACTGGAGACACAAATGATCAGGCTACAATTATCCTATCATATCCTACACATTCTGTAAAGACCTAGGTCTCTGAAAAAGGCTCTTGGAAGGAAAGAGAATACAACTAGTAGCCAGGTGAATGAACTCAATTACAATAGTGATAAACGCACCATTGGGAGACCAATCAGGTTAGGAACAGATCACCTTGGAGAAACTATGTGATTGCCATGAGTGGAAAACAGCTTGATGGTACTTAAGCATGTTTACTGTCTGGAAAGAAGAGAAAACATGGATCTGCAGCCTTGAGTGGAAAGCATTAAAGGAGCATGCAGCTGTAGGGTTGGTTAGCACCCTAAAAGCATTCCCTTTACCTTTCAATTAATTTTTAATTTAATTTTTAATCATCCTTGATTTTTTTTTAAAAGTTATCTTTTATATACTGTTTTTATGTTTTAATATTTTATTGTATACCACCCAGACTCCCTCATGAGGGAAATGGGTGGTTCCGAAATATGTTAGATAAATGAAGTCCAAACTGATAGTTCAAATCTGTGTTTTTCCTTCAAACGATGATTTAAAAGCATGGTTATGAGTTCCTGGCTTCTAGAATAGACTGGGAGCAATTTGAATTAGCACAACTGTAACATACATTTAGGAGACTTGAAGAAGGATGAGGAATTGGCATCCAAGAGTGAGGAGGAAAGGGAAAAAAATCATAGTTCTATAGATCCAAAACACGTGAAGGATAGGGAACAATAGGCCTGAATAAGGTCATTTTAAACACCATTGAATTGAAGGATTTGTGTAGGCTATTTGTGGTGCTATGAAGATGCAGATGGTTTATCTTTGTGTCATCCTATTTAGTAATTAAAATATAGTGGGACATTGAAAAGAAGAAAAAGATAACTAGCAGTTAGTTTAGGGCATGATTGGGCCATTTATTTTACTGTGGCATGTTAAAGAAGAACATCAGATAAAGAACTGCTCTGTTAAATGTATCAAATGTAACAGGACTGTTGTGGCACTAAATTTACAGTCCTCAGAATAAAGGTTGACCCATCTCAAAATGTGTGATACAGAAAAGTCAAGCACAATTATTAAGAGGTCTTTTTTTTCTTTGTTTTTCTTGTGTTTTTCTTAAGAAAACAGCTAAGGCATTTGGCATATTCTGATTCTGAGTGAGACTAACAACTAAAGTGGAGTTGATTGAGGTAGAATTAATGGAAAACATAGTTATAAATTATAACTATAATTATGAATTACCAATATAAAATCAATTTTAATATATTACATAATCTTTAAGGATGGGAATATATCTTGGTTTTTAAGATCTGGTATCTATTTTATTAATCTCTATCACCCCTGCAAATTGATTCAGATTTAGAAGCACAATGATCTGGCATTCATTCTTCACTTACTGATCTTGTCATAGCTACCATACAAAATGGGTCTCTTCACACTACATATGGTTGGGGAGAAACCCTTTTGTGGTGGTTTTTATATGTTTTGCTTTTTAAAAGTTGATACTAGGTTTTTAGTGTATACAACCTGCAGTGGTGAAAGTAAAAATATAGATTTGAAAAAGTCTAATTCCTACCATATTAATGTAGTTATTTAAAGCGACAAAAAATCTCATTGCTTCATGGGGTATGTATGGTAACATAACTGTACCAAAGAAATAAAATACAGTCAGCCCAAATTGGAGGAAATCCAGAAGCAAGCAGGATTCATAGTTTACCCCATTCAGCTAAGATGCTCTTGCTGGTACAGGCAAAGCTTTTCACTTTTTAATTTTGCTGGTGTTTATATTACAATTACAGATGGGGAGTGGAGCAATATTTATAAAGGGTTTAGATTAGCTAATTTTAACTAACCTTATACAAGCAATAAGTGATCAAAAATAAATCAGTACAACGGTTAATCCATGCAGCAAACGAGCTATTCTTGCAAAGGAAGTTAAAGAGATCAACTTCTGCCACTGGGCATTTTTTTTCCTTTATTCCAATGCAAAATAATATTGTTTGCACTTTATAATAAAAATTGGAGAGCTGTATGATAGCAGCCAGAACTTTAAATTGTGATGTTGCACATAAATTGGGCATTAAAAGTCTCTGGATTCAGACATACATGGCATCCATGCTGCTTTGCTGTTTAAGGTTTGTGTTGCCATTCACACCTTCTGAATGAGAAGAACTGGAAGCACCCACGCCTGCCTTCTTTCCTAACCCCATAGAGCATCATGCACTTTTCTAATTATTTTTACAAATGTTCCAGGCTTGATCCTGATCATGAACTGTTCTTTGGATATCCAGAGGACATAAGCATTAGTATAATTTGTGATCTGTGGGAAAGCCTGATTTTGCTGTCTCCTGCCAAACAAAATGTAAGTTTTCAAGCAGGGAAGCCACAGAGTTTGGTACTGTCAAGAGAAGAAATAGCTATTTAGAGGGAAAATAAAGCAAGTTCTCACTCTTATGGTGCAGGAGGTGTTAATTGCAATGCAAATATCAAATTGAACAGCTTTATAATTCACCATGGATTTTCACATGACAAATTCATAGCTGGATAATTTTATTTTTACCACCAACCATCCTATGCGTGTAACATTAACTTGGTTATAAATGGTATTGTGACTCATCCAGAAAGCTGTCTTAGTAAATGCTATGTATATCTCCTTTTGTTGATATAACTATAAAAGGAATAACTACGTTCAGTTAATCAGGGAAAGTTCAGTCTCAACTTTTGAAGACTACATGGACATAATAATGTATTTCTCTTGGCAACACTGGATTGTCACTGCCCTTCTCCAGGATGCTTTCTCAATCTCTCAGTACAGGTAAGTCCTCCACAACTGAGCCCAAAATTTCTTTTGCTAAGTGAGACAGCTGTTAAATGAGTTTTGCCCCATTTTGCAACATTTCTTGCCACAGTTGTTAAGTTAATCACTGCAGTTGTTAAGGGAATCTGGCTTCCCTCATTTACTTTGGTTGTCAGAAGGTTGCAAGTGCCCCAGGGACAGTGCAACTGTCATAAACATGAGTCAGTCACATGACCATGGAGATGCTACAGTGAGCATAAGTGTGAAAAACAGTCATAAGTCACTTTTTTCAGTGCTGTTGTAACTTTGAACGGTCACTAAATGAACTTGTTGTAAGTTGAGGACTATCTGTATAATCTAGACCCTTGATATTTCATAAGGCTCTGTCATCCAAGAACTGATCAGATCTAATCCTGCTTAATTTTTTGTGATCAGCCAAGATCACTTAGGACAGTGGTTCTCAACCTTTCTAATGCTGCGACCCCATAATACAGTTCCCCATGTTGTGGTGACCCCCAACCACTTATAAATCATCGGGTGCCAGGGGTGTGGCCAAAGAAAAGGGGGAAAAATGGCGGACAGCCTTGTTTGGCGACCCCCGTGAAATGGTCGTTCGACCCTAAATGGGGTCCCGACCCATAGGTTGAGAAGCACTGACTTAGGACACCTATTTGCTTACAGATTTCATGTATTTATAGCTAGTTTGGAACCTTTTCATTTTCTTCATTAACAAATGCTATAAGACTATCAACAGTCTAGATTCTCTTCTCATTTGGGTTTCCTCTGTTCCCTTTCTAGTTCTGCCACATCTTATGTATGTTACTCATTTGCTGTACAGAAAAGCCTTTACTGGAGATATGAGGCTCTAAAGCTAGATAATACCCCCCACCCACACTGCACAGCCACTTATTTGCTGACCCTGGTGTGCTCTTTGATTATACTTGCTAAAGATCAATCTGGATTTCCATCATTTTGAGACAGGAACAGCATAAAAATTGTAATGTCATCTCTAAAATAGATGAAACACAAATTTCAAAACAGCTCTCCTGCTAAACCAGGACATCTTCGCCTTCCATTTACATGATATGGCTCCATCATCATTTATTTATTTATTTATTTATTTATTTATTTATTTATGAGACTTATATACCGCTTTAAGTGCAAACACTCTCTAAGCGGTGTACACCAGTAAGCAATGTATATATATATTTACATTGGCCCCAACAATCTGGGTCCTCATTTTACCTACCTCGGAAGGATGGAAGGCTGAGTCAACCTTGAGCCGGTGAGATTTGAACCGCTGACCTGCTGAACACAGTCAGCTAAAGTGGCCTGCAGTACTGCACTCTAACTGCTGCGCCACCTCGGCTCATCACACTCCTAGTAGCCCTGGCACTTCAAACAAAGTCTGAAGTGGTCTGAGCCATAAAAATGTTGCCTACCATGAATATTAGCATCCCAGTATCAGATGCCATCATTGGTTTCCTGCCATGTTCCAGCACAAGAACAAGCAGATGAAACCACATTTTGCATTTACTTGAGTTAATGCGCTTCGGTGCTGCACTAGAACATAGCAATGGGTTGATGCAGGGATTGTGATAAATTACAAGAAGGAAAAAAATGGAAGTCTTAAGAAAAATACTCTAGCAGGCCGATTAATGAAAGGTAAGCTGTTATGGAGGGGAGCCTCAAAACTTTTTTTCACAGCATCGATTTTGTTATTGTGCTAATTATCGTTTTTCTTAAAGGACAAAGGCAAACACTGTACAAAAGTGCACTGCATGACAAATGATAAAGCAATTCAGACGGAGGAAAGCATTCAGATGAAAGGAAGAAGATGAAAAGTATATAGTGCGATGTGCATAGAAAGGCAGAGCAGGAGGGGGGGTAGGCTAGATGGTAAACCGTGAAAGAAAAAGTGCCCATGAATGCTATTTATAGCTATTGTTATGATAGCCTTTCCCCATCTCCACTTCTCCAGATATTCTAAATTAGAATTCTCATTGGAAGATGGGAGTTGTAGTCCAATCAATGTAGAAGGCATCAGGTGAGAAGTGATTAATATCATTGGCATCCCATTATAAACAAAAGTAGAA